GGAGAAGAAGTCTAAGTCTAGAAAGTGAGGAGCGGGCGAGGGGAGTTTGACGCGGACTCGGCGAAGTGCACAGATGACTCAATGGAAGGGAGGGCGCAAATCAAAGCGAGACGCAGAGGGAGGAGCTGGCCGAAGGTATGAGTCGACGAGCGGCCCAAGACATTGGGTGCCCTGCCCCGCAGTCACAAACCGTGGCCGAGTCGTGTGGCCTAAATCAACAATGGAGGGGCAGTCTTATCGCCAGGGGTCCGTGCATTACAATGCATCCAACAGCTTGACAGAGATGGGAATTTGTCAGGGAAATTGGTTTTTCTTTCTTTTCGATTTAATGAATTTATCAAATAGGTAGCCATCAAAGTAATATGATGCACCATCTGTTAATGTTCACCAGAGCTCCTGCCTGCTGGACTTTGCAAGTTCCCTCAGATGAAGTAGGCACCGGGTAGCCTTCCGATCCCGGTTGCACCTGCCTTCAACATGCCTTGCCCACGTTGTGTTTGTTAGCAGGCAAATCACACTGTGCTCAGCCAATCTACCCAGTCCCACAATTCGATATCCTTTTCTTTAGCAGCGCAAAGAGCCCTTCATATATTTTATAGAGGAAGCTTATCGTCCTCTTTCATAAGTAGGTAGACAGCTCATCTGATCTTGTACGTGTGCTACTATTTATGGAGATTAGGTTAGGAGGCAACTGATCAGAGGAATTATCGTATGGGCAAGTAGTCTATCTCGATTGCGGAGTGAGATCCAAGGTCACGCCACCACTGATTGTAGGAAGCTCTCTTCTACGAGGTCATTCACTTGTTACAAGTAATGCTGCCGCCGTCTCTAAAATTCAAAGGTAATTGTAGCGGCTCGCTTTATGTTGGGCGGCTATGAGACTCATTGCTGCTTCAATTTGGTGGTGACTTTCATCAGCCCGAGTCGGAAGGCCCGTGATACATCTCATTTTCGTGATATGAACTTCAATAAACCTCTGTTCCGTGAAAATCTATTTAATTACTAGCTGAACTAAATGCTAAATGCGTCTGGTAGGCGTAGCGGCTAGGAAAGTACCAATTTGAAGCTCGGTTTTGGGGTTTTTTGCATACTCCCTACCTAGAGGAAACTGGAAGCTTTTGATTCTAAGTCTCTGCTTTTAGCCATTCCAAGATGTCGGGCTAAACAGTAATAAATTGGATTCTTACTAAAAATTTGCCTTTCCATCCCAAGACCCTCATATCTCACTGCGGACCGGAATCAAGCACAATCCTTTCACGTTGGTCATGTAAATCTAAAAAGGCAGCAACGACAAAAGACCCAGCGTTCACTTCCGAGAGTCCGTTCCTCAGTGAGGCTCTATTAACATGGATTAAAGGATCGTTTCTGCAAACCCCTGGACAACGAAGATATTACGCTGTTTATGGCCGTACCCCATCTTCCTGGCGTAGCCATATGCTAGGCGTATATCTATCATGCAATATTATGATTCTATTTACAGTGTAGCTCTTAACGGCTTTGCCAAGAAGGAGTCATTTCCTTTATTGCTCTCCGCGTAACCTGTACTAACCACGAGTGGCACTGGAGTGGGAGAGGCAGACCCTGCATTTAGGCATCACGTCGTGTGATCCAGGGATGGCCAACACCGTATCCACGACAGTAGCCAAGGTGGGAACTGAGAAATCCTGGAACGTGTGATCAACTTTGAACCCCCTGCTTGCTATTACTAGGTCAGCTTTCCCGGCCCTGACTACTTCGAAAGTGGAAGACATGTTGGTAAGATTTGTAGAGAGAACTGCGGCCCTAATACTGCATTAGTGGCAAGTTGAAAGGAGTGGGCTCCTCATTAGTGGGGTTTTGAGGCAGTCGTGATCTTGACTCAACTCCATCTGTTCAGCCTTGTATGACGGTTGTTGGTAGAGTTCCGCCACACTAGCAAAAGTCCATGTCTCGGCGAGCATTACATGGATTTAAGCGACGAGAGGTGTGAAACGGAAGAAACAAACCCCTCACATACCCGAAAATAGCATCCGCGTTCATTAGACAAGATTCTCGTGAGACAGTCAGAATTATGAGGCTAGCAACCAACAACCAAAAATTGGCGGAGCTAGTCCACATCACCCCTGCTATTATTAGGCTCGACTTGAAGGAGAACATGAATCTCAGAGGCAAATAAAGGGCTGCTGGACGATATTCATAGTGTAAATCAAATTTTGAGTCTTCATTCCCATCTTCAACCATATGAAGTTTTGTCTCTCATTTCCTGATGCTGAGTAAACGTACCCAGCCATGTTTCCTTACCATTATCTTTCTACTATCTTGTGCTTGGCCTTGGTGGCTGAAGCCGGCGATAATAGTAAAAAGCCTGATGCTTCATCTACGAATAACTCTGAAGAGATCGGAGCTATATCCCAAGATGATGCAAATGGTCTACTGCTTCAAGTAGGTTCGAAACGTCTTTTTGAAACGAGTGCTCACACTAATTTGAATCTTGGTACAAGGATCCCTTTGTTGGCATGGCCTTTGATAGAGGTCAAGCTCTAGACAACAGCGATATTACACCCCAAGTCAACGTTATCGTCAAACGAAAGGCCGCGCCCAAGGCTATCCCTAAGAAACCTGCACCCAAGAAACCTACACCTAAGCCTGTTCCTAAGAAACCAGCACCTAAGAAACCAGCACCTAAGAAACCAGCACCTAAGAAACCAGCACCTAAGAAACCAGCACCTAGGAAACTAGCACCTAAGCCTGTTCTTAAGAAGCCCGCTACACCAAAGAGACCTGCTCCCAAGAAGGCTGCCACCAAGACACCTGGTCTCAAGAAGCCGATTTCTAAGGCTGCTCCCAAGGAACTCACACCGAAGAGACCTGCACCTAAAAGACCTGTCCCAAAGAAGGCTGCACCTAAGAAGGCTGCACTTAAGACACCTATTCCCAAGAAACTCCCACCTAAGAAACCTGCTCCCAAGAAACCTGGGCCCAAGAAGGCTGCCCCTAGGAAGGCTGCACCAAAGAAACCTACACCCAAAAAATCTGCTCCTAAGAAGGCAACCCCTAAGAGGCCTGCTCCTAAGAGACCTGCTCCCAAGAAGCCAACATCTAAGGTTGCCCCAAAGAAAACCATACCAAAGAGGCCTTCTTCTAAGAAGGCTACCACTAAGACACCTGCTCTTAAGAAACATGCTCTCAAGAAGCCAATATCTAAGGCCGGTCCTAGGAAGTCTACTCCAAAGAAGACCGTTCCTAAGAAGCCTGCTCCCAAGAAAACTGCATCTAAGAAGGCCGTCTCTAGGAAGCCCGCCTCGAAGACTCCGTCAAAGGCTGTCCCAAAGAAGACTGGTAGAAAGCCTACAGCTAAGGCTGCTCCCAAGAAGGCAGCTACCAAGGCATCTGCCAGGAAGCATTCACCTAAAGCTGCTCTGAAGAAAGAGGCTTCGAAATCGGCGCCAAAGAAGGCTGCTGCCAAGAATAACTTTGGCTATAAAGCTGTAACGCACAAGCAGGCCCTGGCCAACTTGAAAGCATTCAAGAATGCCGCTGCTCAGAAGTCGGGGTCTAAGAAGACACCGCCTAAGAACGCGGCAGGCAAGAAGTCCTTGCCAAAGAAAGCCCATGCCAAGATCAAGACAGGTGCTCGGAAGGGTACTAATCCGAAGAAAAATACCGCCCCCCAGAAGTCAGCACCTAAGAGAGCTGGTGCTGGGACTAAAGCCGGCGCCAAGAAGGGTGGTGGTCGGTCCAAAGGCAAGAAAGCTTCTCCCAAGGCCTTGTCCAAGGAAAAGAAAGCTGCCGCAAGGCGGCCCTCAACCAAAAGCAAGAATGGGGATATTTTGAAGGGGAAGAAGGCTTCTCGGGGCAAACCTCTTGGTAAAGGGAAAGCCTTTTCCAAGAATAAGGTTGCTACCAAGGGAAATTCACCTCAAAATGCTTTCAAGAGCAAGACCGCTTCCAAAGGCAACGCTGCTACTAAAGGAAAGAAAACTCCCAAGGGTGTAGCCACCCAGAGCAAGAGCCCCAAGAGAAAGACTTCTGCCAAGGACACGAAGTTGCATAATGTTAAGGCTACCAACCGGAAGAAGACTCTCAACCAGAAGAAGGCTACCGGTCAAAGGAAGACTGCCAACAGGAAGAAGCCTCCTACTCGGAAGAATCCTACCAGTCAAAAGAAGGCCTCTAACCAGAAGAAGACTGCTAATCAAAAGAAAACTTTCCACCAGAAACCTGCCAACAGGAAGAGTTCTGTCAACAGGAAGAAGGCTTCCATTCGAGGGAAGGCTGCTCATAGGAAGAGACCTTCCAACCAGAAGAAGGCGGTTAGTCAAAAGAAGGCTGTCCATCGGAAGGCGCCTTCTAACCGGGGAAAAAAAGCTAGACAGAAGAAGTCTGCCAACAGGAAGAAGACTCTCAACAACAAGAAGGCGGAAAGTCAAAGAAAAACTGCCAATAGGAAGACATCTTCCACACAGACGAAGGGGGCCAGTCAAAAAAAGGCTGTTCACCGAAAGAAGCCTTCTAACCGGGGAAAGAGCGCCACGCAAAAGAAGTCTGCCAACCGGAATGAATCTGCGCGTCAAAGAAAAAACACCAATCGGAAGAAATCTCGCAAACAGAGGAAGGCGGCCGGTAAAAAGAAGGCTGTCAACCGGAAGAAGCATTCTAATCGGGGAAAGGGCGCCAGGCAGAAAAAGTCTGCCAACAGGAAGAAGACTCTCAACCAGAAGAAGTCTTCCGGCCGAGGTAAATCTACCAATAAGAAGAAGCCTTCCAACCAGAAGAAGCCTTCCAACCAGAAGAGGCCTTCCAACCAGAAGAAGCCTTCCAACCAGAAGAAGCCTCTAGCAAGCAAGACTTCCAAGGACAAGGCAGCTGTCCAGGGAAAGGCGTCTTCCAAGGGGAATGTTGCAGCAAAGAAAAATGCTGTATCATCTAAGTGCTCTTGGCGGCGATCCCTTGGCCTCCGATGCGAGGACTCGGATGACCAGAGAAGCGAAGAAGAAAACACAAGCAGTGCTGGGGAAGACCTGGCTAACGAACTCGGGGAGTTGAGTATCGTTGGCAAGAAAAATAAGGGGAAGCAGAAGGCATTAACTAAGGAAGAGGAGGAGCAAAAAAAGAAAGAGGAAGAGCAAAAAAAAAAAGAGGAAGAACAAAAGAAAAAGAAAGAGGAAGAGCAAATTAAGCTGGAAAACGAGAAGCTTCAGGAGAAGAAGCACAAAGTAGCCAGACTCAAGAAAGAGGAGGAGCTCGCGAAGGGGGGACACGCAAAAGTTGAGTTATCTGACAAACGCCTTAACCAGGAGACAGGTGGCTCGAAACGACAACACAGCATGTACCTCGCAATCTCACCAAACCCGTTTCATAATGATGATGAGAGAGTCCGGATCTCTAACGTAAAGGGGCAGCCAGTGCTATATCAAAAGATAGGTGATGGCAGGGAGACGCGAGTTGAGTCATATAGCACAGAAAACCCAAACTATGCAGCCGCAGCAAGTCATGGACAATTACCAAAATTAGAAAATGGTGATGGAAAAACCATTCGCCATCGCCCAGGAAAAGAGGCGGAGAAAGCAGTTTACGAGCCAAACAAGTACCAAAAAAAAGGAAGCCTCGCGAAACAAGGTAAATGCCTCCACTCTGGCCTTCTTGCCTGGTTATGCAAGCTAACAATATATTGTACCCAGGTGATACCGAGTTTAGGAAATATACGGCACGCACCCGCCAAGAACTCGATAAACTTGGCATCCAAGAAAAGGAATGGACTCATGACGAGATGGAGCACAATGCGTAAGATCCTCATCCCCACTTCGTCGCTCAAAGCCTAGGAAAAGCTGAGCCTAACATCGAATCGCAGGCGAGAGAAACTGAAGCACATAAAAAATCATATGGCAGGTGACGACACTTCTGAGTGGCATAAACTGGAGATGGAGAGTCAGAGAATGTGCAACATAGAAAACGTCAAAAGCGCTGCCAGCTATGTATTCGACGGTGGCATGCCGCTCGAGAACGATGCGGATTCGGTCGTCTTGCCTTCGGATGATCAGAAGCCGGCTGACGAGAGCCCGGCTGGCAAGAGCCTGGCTGACGAAGGTCCTGCTGGCGAGGGTCCTACTAACGAGGATTCAGCTGGAGAGGGTTCAGCTGGAGAGTATTCAGCTGGAGAGTATTCGGAAGACTCAAGTGAGCAAGATGATCCAAATGATTTGACTTATCACCCCTGAAGTTCCAACTAGCAGTGGGTCAATACCAAGGCGGTTCAAAGACCAGAGAGGGAATCTGCTGCACGAGGGGGAAAAAAGCCGGGGGGG